CGGTTGGGTTAAAGCGATTTGGAATGGGGTAGACTATGCCATTACCATTCAGTGCGTTGCAAACCACTGGAGGAAGGAACTTAATTGAAAGACGAAAATACTGCCACGAGTAAGTCTAAGTTTTCTTGATGCATTTCAATGAAGTCGAAAGTGACCAAGCAAAAATCATGCACAAATTTCAACTTTCAAGCTAAACGAATCATCCGCGTGAGGCTGTGATTTTCAGACTCGTAGAGGATGATTGGGAATTGCGTAACCCCTTTTAGGTGATTGCAGAGTACGAACGGGCTGTGCTATTCCGACTGGGACGAATACTTCCAGGCGGTGCTAAGGGTCCTGGCCTCTTTTTCACGGTTCCATGTCTCGACATGATCCGAAAAGTCGACCTCCGAACTGTCACTTTCGATGTACCGCCGCAAGAGGTAAAGCAGAAACACAAAATTGGTATTCAGACCAGTGCTTGGTACTGTTTTGGGGAGAACTATCTCGTTTATTTTTGAAAGGGCATTATGAATAGATTAGCACATTCCCTGTTATCCCTCCCGAAACATTCCACGTTTGCCTCTCTCATCAGAGGCAAGGACGTTCTGGGAGGACGTAAATCATTGCAGATACTGAAGTAGCTTTACTAAAAGCGGCTTTTTTAGCAGTTAAGTCAGTGAAATATTGAGTGAGTGAACTGTTACTCACCAACAAGTAGGCAAATCCTGACGTTTCTGTGCTTTCGAGATCTTCATGGCAAGCTTATGTAGTAAAACTGTCGGTACAGAAAACCAACACTGGTTTATTTGGACAAGGCGAAACCGAAATATTGTAGGTTCTCACCAAGGACTCTGTTACTGTGGCGGTTGACGCCGTGGTCTACTATCGAATCTACAATCCGGTGGTTGCAATCACCAATGTTGAGGATGCGGATCGCTCCACAAGGCTTCTGGCGGCAACCACCCTGCGTAATGTCCTCGGCACCAAAAATCTCTCTGATATTCTCTCTGAGAGAGACTCCATTTCTGGCATGATGCAGGTTGGTATCTCAACTTGCTCCTTTATTAATCGACTGCAGCACAAACACGTGAATTCCAAGTGGCTTACTCAGTTGTTAACTCGCACA